CGGTTTGCATATGTAAATAGATAAAAAGTGACATAGCAATACAAGACATGAAAAAAAAATTTTTTAGCATTTAAAATGTCGGTAACGTTGAGGATGATTGGAAAAATTATTTAAAATAGAACGTTTTACTCAATTTATAGCAGAATTTTTCTTATTCCTATTCTTGCAAGATTGATATTTACGATCCGAACTTCAAAGCTGCAATCTTCGCGAGTACACAACTTTGTTGCCGCTAGTAAACTCTCTTTCTCCGCGACTGCGAGAATCCTTCTCCTTCTTTCTCTTTAGAGCGCACGAAGGAACGTCATTACAGTTAACCGGAACATTTAACAGTTAACACTGTGACGTATACACTCATTGGATTTTCCGCTGCGGGTGCGTACACGCTGCGTACGCGCGTGTCCTCCCAATTTTGTTGCAGCCGAACCGAGCCGGGACGACGATCCGCGAGCGCATCCGCGACACGTACGCGAGTTGATTGACGCGCGAATACGTGTCCGGCGTAATACGACTCGCGAACAAGGTTGCGAACGAGCACGTACGTGCGGTGCGACGATGACGAGAACGACGACGGGCCCCGATGTGTGCCAAGGCGAGAGATACATCGAGGTTCCGTTGGAAAACGCGCGGATTTCACGACTCCGCGCGTGTACACAATGTCCTGCGTACACGCTACAGCAATTCCAATGTAATACATTCGTCAAGTATTCCTCGCGAAATATGAAGCCGATGACGTTTACTAACTCCGTACGATTTGATGGTTGAAATTTTTGATACTTCGCTGATTAAAATTATGATTAAAATTCTGCGAAAATTCTCGAGCAAAAACTCGCTTGAATTCGAGCGAACGATGAGTTTACTATTCGACTGTATTTAAAATATTTCAAAAGACTCAAAAGACTGAATATTAAAAAATGCGCGACATTAAGGCTCGGTTTTTCCATTTTTCAGTTGAGTTATAGTTTCGACTTCACTTCACTTAACTTGATGATAATGTATGTAAAAATTGTGGTTTTTTTTTTTAGCTATGATAGATGACTAAACTGATGGTATGGTAGCGATAACTTTAAAAGTTAACTCATTACAAAATTATCACCTTGCATATCATGCACTCTAAATAATATTGATGTAAATTTTAACATTATACGGTATCTATATAATTCACTAATGTTAATAATAATTGTTTTCCATTTTTAACACAAGTAATACTAAAGTTATGACTCAGTAAGCATTTTATATTATAACAATGTTATTATTTTACTTTCTTATTTTTTTGAAAATTGTAACACACAGGTGTGTTTATAACTCACTTTTAATATAAGTTAAAGCCGCAGTATAGACTTTGCGTAACGCGTAAGGTATAAGAAAATCAATTAATCAGAATTCTTCATTTCATATTCTAATTAATTGATTCTGTTATGGGTTATCTACAATAAGTCATTACTTAAGCTTAAGCCATAAGAAATTGACCAACCATAGTCGATTATTCTTCTCATATTTGACTTGATTGGTTTTCTTGTGGCTTAAGACTTAAAAGCTTAGGTAATAACTTATAGAAAGCTCATTATGACTTATGTGTTATACAAAAGCCTGTGCTGCAGCCTTTAAGAAGACTCACAATAAAGTTCACGATCTAGAACACATTATAAAAACTTATTTCAGTGAGATTCAGTTTATTTTATTCGTCAGAATGAGATGGAACGTACATTGAACTGAGTTGTAACGTCATAAGTGAGAATTACCTGAATTTTAATGTAATTGGAAAGCAACTATTAACATAGTGAGAATTAAAAATTAAACAAAATTTGGATTCCTTGTTTAACATTTTTTTGTTTAACAAAATTAGAGCTAATACGAATCGTCACTATAATTAGTGCTCTACGTTAATTTTATATTAATACAAAAAATTAAATTTAACCTTTAAGTAGGTGAATAAATCTCTCTTTCTCTCTCTCTCTCTCAAAAGTACAAATAATATAAATTTAATTCTATGTATGCTATTAAAAATATAACTATAAAGATCAAATTTGTTTGGGATGTTTTAAAACACCTCATCTACCTATTTAAAGTTTAATGGATGTTTGAAAATTCATGTTTTAGTTGTATAATAAAAATCTTTTGTCATATGATAACACATGATAATAAGAATTATATATATATTGATGAGAATTTAACACCGCATAAATCCATATCAATATTTTTTAGAGTTAGTATAACTAAAAAAATATTTACCATTTTTACATTATCATCACGTTAATCATAAATTAACTAGAAAATGAAAAACTGAATTTGAAAGGTGTATGTTCTCATGGCAAGTACGATAATCAGAGTTAAATAAGATCCAGTTTTTGAGAGAAAAATTTGTCGTGCACACCCAATAAGAAAAGCCATCCGACATTCGTCGTGTCCGGTCGACTGTAAAATACGATAACGTTGGTAGATCTCTTCGAGGAAAAATAATGCACAACTTTTGATGGCTGTGGATCGGGGGAATGAAACGCGCACGAGACGAGATTTATTTATGGCGCTCTGCCGTATCTCTCAAACGATATTTTTCGCTTCGCGTTTATTTTCAGATATACGTATGCGCGTAACGCTCGCGCGGAGGTTCACGACAGAAACCAAAGCTCGTATTTTACAATAACGTTCCCGTCGCGTTCAAGAAGCGGATTTATTTATTCAAGTGTCACGGCGATAGTCTACCCCAACATAGAATAAAACGGAAGCAAATACGTAAAGCACGTCAAGGCGATATTGATTCTTTGAAGTTTCTATTTGGACGAAAATAGAAAAAAATATCGTCGCGCATCTTCATCATTTATTCATTAATGTCTTTCTGTTCAATTTACGAATAGATAAGATAAGGAGGAATTCTTGCAACTAACTTCCATTTCAATTACAATTTTATTCCAATCCTACATACTTTGATAAAAATAGAAAAATATGATATTTTAATATATTTTGTAGAATCACACACATCCATCGTATATAAAAAAAAATATTACTGCAGGAAATGGCATTCTTTCTTTCATTTGCATTTGAAATTACTCACACTTTTTATTTGAATAAATTTACCTTGTTAATGATCCATTATTTTACTAACTGCATGTCACGAGTTTCTAATGTAACATTTTAAGTATTTTTTTCCTCTATGTAATCTCCTTTTTTTTTTTCAAGCAAAACTTTTTCCGATGCACGCAACGGAACGCAGTATTGGCGCATGCACGCACGTGCATCATGCAGACTATCGGTTCGCATTCTATGCATATGAACTTATGTAATTGATTTCGTGTCAGCTCTCATCTCACCGCGCCGCAAGCAAGTTAGGTGCGTACGAGCGTTATGCGTCGCCGCCGACGAGACGAAGATACCGATCGAAGGAGGGGCTGCTCGAGCTCGTGGCGACTAACGAGCTGCCGGAAATCAACATTACATATCCGGCCAGAATGCGTCGTGCAAGAGATAAAAAGAATTCCCCTGTTTGTATCCCGACTAACATGCTTGTGTACGCAATTTTATGCGGGAAGAGGAAATCCGTAAACTTAATTCAGCATGTTCCTCTCAAAAGAGAAAGAAAAATTAATTAGACGTATCCGTTGTTTTCAAATCGCGATCCTAATGACGGATACTTTATGACAAGGAAACACTCGGAAGTGTTCTCTGATTTTGACGATTTAATATTTAATATTTAATATTATATTTTAGATCAAAACAAGGGATACATATTTTTATTCATATAATGCACGAGGTAAAACATTCTTTCGCAAAAAAAATTAGTTGTTTTCTTTCAAAGTGAATATCGAAACTGTAAAAGATTTTTAATAAAAGAAAAAAAAAATTTTTAATAAAAGTTAAAAACGGTTTCAAAAGAATTGTACAATAATCATACAAAATTTGTTTAAAATTTTTAGTTTATAAATAAACATTTTATTTAAATAATTTTTTTTTTATTATTATAGGATCTTCTAAAAATCACTTACAATTTTTATTTTAAAAAATTTTTCTTTTTATATCGGCGATATTTGAAAAAAAAGTAATCAATTTTTTTAGTAGAGATATTTCAACCTCTGAAAGTACATGTAGGCACAAATAAAAAATATATCTCTTATGCGAGTCTACCCTGAGAATTCCATTTGGTTAACTCAACTAATCTCAAAACAATTTAGTTGAAGGAAAAAAATTTGATTATTTTAACTGAATATTTATTTGATTATTTACTTGTGTCATCGGAAACAAGTATAGAATATTACACAATAATCAAACTTTTTGCTTTAACTAAATTATTTTATTGCAACAATCAAGGGTTTATTTGCTCATATCCAAACAAGAAATTATTTTAATCAAATGGGATTCTCAATGCAAAATACAACATATTGAAAGCTCATCAAAATTTGAGAAGGCACGCGATCATCGTCACCATCGTCGTCATTATCGGATCAGTGTGAGTCTAAGGCAAGCAAGGCTTACGGCTACTAACTTCGGTAAATTGGATCCACGACCAGTAACTTTAGATACGATGTGTTTCCTTGTAAGAATATATAAAGCTGAATAATATAATGCTATTAATATGTAATGTAAAATATTCCAGATTCAATACACAATATATATATATATATATGGATCTGGAATATATATATATATATAGAAATGTGTTATTTCTTGCGATATTTCGAGCCGAAAATATTTAGCAATTAATAATTTTCTAGCAATAAATTCAAAGAAGATAAATAGTTGGTCATAAATTAATTTTTTCAGAAAACAAATAACGAGATATTATTCCAGTCGATCAACATGGAATAAATTTTAATCAACTTTTAAATTCATTATTATAATCAGGATATTAAAATTTATAAAGTCTTCATTGACATTAAAACAACGATCACAAGTTTCATAAAAACAACACTTTCTACCAATTCCGAATAATCAACTTGAATGATTGTGGAACACCATTTTGTCGACACGTTGCAACAAAATGAATTAGAAATTGAAAAGTGACTCACCTTTGGTTCCGTCTTCATTTTTTTCGCAGGCGGAGGACTAGCGGCAGTGTCCATTGCTTCCTCGGCGGGTGTCGTGAGCGGTGGACCCGGCACCGCGGCGACCTTGGTTTGTTCCGGTTTGGCCGCCGCGCCGGCCGCCGTGGCGCTCGCCGGACTCGGCGGCGGACAGGGTGCCGCCGCGCTGGTCGCGGGTGGCCCGGGGCCTTGTGATACGGAGAAACCTGTCCTCGAACTGGGCGGTGGTCCCTGGGTCTGTTGTGGCGCCGTGGCGGCCGGCGTTGGGCCCTGAGACTGCGTCGCACCACCGGCCGAATTTTGACCCTGCGGTGTCGGTCGCGCGGTACCGTTCATCTCTGGTTTCGTTTGCTGGGGGGTATGATTGCTCTGCGGTTTTTCGTGCTTGTCTCGTGCTTTGTCACGCCTATGACCGCTCGAACCACGTTTCGAGCCAGCGGTGGACGAGGGCGCGGCACCGGTGCCGCCAGCGGATGCCGGCGAATGGCTCGGCTTCGACTTATTCGACGAAGAGGACTGACCGCCGCCGGCCGCGCCGCATTCCGAATTTTGTGAGTTTTGTGTTACCGCGGCCGACGCGGACGTCGAGCCGACGGCCGAGGACGAGGACGTTGAGGAGGCAGCGGTGCCGTTGTTCGAGTCTTGCGACGAGACGGTTCCGTTGATCTCGTTCGACTTAACAATCTCGTGTTTGGCTTCGCTGGTCTTGGTACCGGGCTTCGTTCGCTTGATCTTCATCTTGAGGCCCTTGTCGACGGTGGCCGAATGTTCAACGGCCATCTTGCCGGGATTACCGGCGTTAGCGTGGACGGCGTTTACGCCGCTCACGTTCACACCCGACGCTTGCTTATTACCGGTGACTACAGATGCGGTACCGTTTGCGTTACCGGCCCCGTTCGCGCTGCCGGTGCCGTTCGCGCTGCCACTGCCGCTACCGGGACTGTTGGAACGCGTTGAATTCACCCCACAAGAAGAGGACGATGAGGATGAGGATGACGAAGAGGACGACGACAACGACGATGACGAAGACGACGACGACTGACTTCCGGCGTTCGTGCCAGTCGACGGGACGGACGAGGACGAGGAGTTTGAGTTGAGACCACTTGCTGAGTTTTGTAACTGATGATGATTCGCGTTATTCGGTGCCGATGCTGCCGAGGCAGGCGTAGAAGCCATGCCTGTCCCCGAGCTCAATTTCTCGTCCCTCGTCTTCTCAATGTCCGCATCAAGATCGATTATCAGGTCACCTATGCCAATGTCCCATTCGTTGTCGTCGTACTCAAAGTTATTGGTCGCATTCGTCGCGGCCGGATCCAGTTCACCGATGTTAGCAGCCACTGTGCTTATTTTATTAGACTCACGCTGCTGGCCTGATGACGACGACGACGACGACGACGACGACGACGACGACGACGACGACGACGACGATGATAATGATGACTTGTCCCGATTCTGATGGTGATGATGATGGTGATGATGGTGGTGATGATGGTGATGGTGATGGTGACGATGATCGCGGTGTTCCCTGCCGATCAGTGCTCTCTCTTGCCTCCTTGACTGACCGCCGCTAAAGTTGTTATTACTTAAGCCGTTGTTGTTGTTGTTGTTGTTGTTGTTGCCGCTGTTACCGTTGCTGGTGTTGCCGTTGCTGCCGTTACCACCACTGTTACTATTACTATTATTACTACTAATACCACCACCACCGATGCACGGAGATGGTCCTTTACGGTTTACGTTAGGGAGGCGACCGCCTAGTGGCGTGGTCGCCATGCCCTTGGAAACGTTTCCCCGGCGCCCGCCAGCCTGGTCACCGACTGCCCACCGTTTCTCACTTTGGATACCAAGTAATAGTAGTGGTAGCGCGCGTGACTACACGCGTTATCATTACCCCGACCACCGCCCGCGAGACGCGCCTCGTCCATCGAACACATCACTCACTCTCTCGCTTCTACTCTCGCTCGACAAGGGTAATTCGCGATATATCCCAGCCGTATCTCTTTTCTCTCTCCTCTCTCTCTCTTTCTCTTTCTTCCTCGCGTCTTCCACTTCTTGGTTATCGTGTGTACACCTTATCCACCTTGATTTCTCTTCACCACACTTGCCCCTGTCGTTAATTCTTACTCGCGTAGCTGAGACGCGTAACTCGATATACCTTTCACCACTCTTCACCGACGACACACTGATCCCCGACACAACACCACGATCACAGCCACTGAGCCCCCCCCTTAGATCACGAACACACCACCCGACACCACTCGTGATTACTTCCAACGTCGTAGGAAATCTCGGCGACCATCCGCGTTCTCGGAATCCTGAGACCCGAGGATGGTAGCTCCTCCACCTGTCTCCCACTTGTCGTGAATTAAGCCATGTCCCACGAAACGATCCTCCCAGTCAGCCTAGCGTGCGGTTCTTCCCTTCGATTTCCCGACGGAACCGCGCCTCGGCTGATCGACGTGTTTCCGATCTGTAACAACGTAAGTGATTCCCTTCAACGTCGACGTTAAACGTGTAATGATTAATTTATCATAACGGATTAGCTTAAGATTATCTTGTCAAAGCAACTCCGGGATGTCTGATTAATATTCTGTTATTTATAGATTTCAACTCTAATCATATTTTCATTATATTAATTAATCCTATTTTTATAATTTTACACTCATTAAAATTTTACAAGAGTCTTTTTGTATATTTATTTTTAAAAATCTATTACATTTATCATTTATTACTTTTAAGTAACGAGTATCTTTTAACAAAGAATATCTTCTTTATAATAATCTTATAATATAGATATTTATTACAAATTTAGAAAAAACTCATTACATATTAAAAAAAAATTTTTTTAAGAACATTATAAAATTGATCGAAAAAGCAATTTTATATAATAAATAAATCGAATTTAATTTAATAAACATGATTAAAGTATTAAACTTATTGTGAGGGACTTGTAATATATAAACTTTCGAAATATTTGAAATAATAATTATTACTTGTTTATAGTATACATATTTCTGTATATATCGTAAATTCTGTGTATAAGATAGCAAAAGATACATGAGAATGGAGCAACTCCATTATAGCAAGGCAAGCGCAATCCGTTTCGTTTTTTTTTTTGTAAAACAACGCCGAGACGTGGCGGCATTCTTAGCTTGATAGACGTGCCTCATCGTTAATATGAGATGCATTCCAGTAGCATAATTATTGTTTTAGAAAAAAGACGAGATGATTATCGTTATTTCTCTACAATAATAACCTATCTACGATATAAATTGCTGTACAATCTTGGATACAATCTTGCACTGTTGCACAATATCTTAGTTAACTCTTATTATTTACTCTCTTATAAACTAGAACTTATTTTTAAACCTGATATTTAAGAGCGTTCTATCACAAGGACAGGAAAAAATATTTTTAATAAGATATTGTATAAATTTTAAACACTCTTCTTTTTTATTTTAATTTCTATTGTTACCTTTTACACAAAAAAATATTTTTTTCGATAAATTTAAAAATATATTTGTGAAAATTAAGTTAATTTTATTTAGAACGTTTCAATAATATTATATGTATATGCATTCATTTTAAAAAATATAGATAGTAGATTTAACATCATGGATGTTAAATTCTCATCGTGTTGATATTTCATCAACATCAACATGGTGAATACTATGTTGGTGTTGAATTATTTAAACTAGTATTACATCCACACCATTTTGGAGTTTATATCAACACCAACACGATGAGAATTATATAAACACTAGCATGATATTAAATCCACACCTATATATTTTAAAATATTTTTAAGTAATTAATTAACAATCATGAAATAATGGTAAAGACAAAATTCATTTTGGGGAAATATACTATACATTCTTGAAGAAAGTCCTGCAGAGTAAGCGATTCAGAATTGTGTAGTAAAATTAAAAGACTGAGACAAAAGCACCTACGAATCTTACGAGCTACGATAGACAGGAGGGCGCGGTCGCCCATTTGAGACTCCAATTAATTTGGCAGCATTAATTTGGCATCGCGGCTGGTCTACTTGAAAGACTACGCGCGTCACTTTGTAGTCACATTGCTTTCATAAACAATGCTCGATAGCCAGATAAGTCTTCAGGAGCACTTGGCCGGCGGCCAATAACCAGCGCGTTGCTCGCCGGCGTTCTCTTGGGAGAACTCAAGAACGAGTCGAGAGTCAGCGTAAACCGGGTTGTTAGCTTCGATATAACGACATGTTTAGAGACTCGCTCTACCCACCCGCTTCCTCCTTCTCCTCCTCTCCACCTTCCGGCTTTCACCCTGGCGCAACCTCTTCGTCTCGCCCTCCGGGACGTCCCCTCCCCCCCCCCCCCCCCCCCCCTCTCTCTCTCTCTGTTTCGCACCTACAAATTGGTATTCCCACTTAGAGAGGAATTCGTGTCAGGCAACGATTAATTTTACCGGCGGCATTTTGGCCGCGGTCCAACTACCCCGCGTCAGTAACCCGGTACGAGAAAGAGAAACGAGGAGATTTGGATGAAGAGAGGGAGACATATCGACGGATCTCCCAATAGAGAGTACAGTAGAATTTATTCCGTGTTCTCTAAAACCGAGTCCTCTCGGAACATTATACGTGAGACACGACCGCATGTAACCGTAACAGTGGATGGTCGACGTGGAAAATAGAAAAAAAAAAAGGGAACAACAAATGACAAAATTTTGCATGAAAAAGAGAATAATATAATAATTTAAGATAAAAGTTATTTATGACTGATAAAATTTACAAATGTGTAATTTGTTAAAATTTCGATGATGATATCGATTCGTGCGCAAAAGTAGTGATTAAACAGCAGTTGCTATATCTACGATGGGAGATAAATGATCCGAGTACGGGTTCTTAAAGCGAGGAATAGAATTAACATAAATTACTGAGAATGACTTGTCAGACTTTCTTTAATGTAATTCAATATAATATGTTTCGACGCGCGCACATCAATTTATGTTGGCAATCAATTTTACGCGATCGGCTATCTTTACAAGTTCCGAAATTCTATTAAATTTAATGATGTTATAAATTGCCAGATACAAGATGGTTTTATAATACTATTTAATATCTCTTCAAATAACAAAGAGAAAGAAATGAAATATTTGAGCTAAACAAAAATAAGTAGATAAAATCTAGTTGCTCGTGCAATTGTTTCTCCATTTCACATCGTTTCTTTCGTGATTATAGACCGGATAATCGTTAAATGTATCGAATCAACTATTACCCAATCGACCGCTACATTGTATTAATTCATGCGAACGTCCCGTCGATCGACGTGCAGAAAATCGACCTCGACAAAGACGTATCGCTTTATAGTATCATACACGATGACAGCTCGGCCGCTATTACTCTTATTTTGATTGTTTCCCCTTTAAGGTTGAATAGACGGATAACGCATCTATCGACCGGCGCGGACGTAAATGCCTTGCGTGATTATAGCTTCTCGTGTAAACGAACTCTAAAGTGAACTCTCGCAGAAATTTCATCGGAAAGTGGACTTCTAAAAAATTCGTATAAAAAAGACATATATACAAAGAAAAATGTTATGATTAAATCAACAAAAAGGTCCAATCAAAATGCTATTCTGGTTGGATTTTTCTTGTTGGTTTAATCAGAACACTTTTCTCAGTGTAGCTGCACGTAATATGCATATATTAATAAATTTATAATCTAATATCACTTCACAATTACGTTCGTAGCTGTTACTTTATATTACAGAGAAAAATTTTTGATTGAAAATGAACGAACCAGCAGATTCCGATCATATCAATCAAAATTCTCAGATCAGATGATTCTCATTTGATTATCTCGACTAGAATTCTAATACAGATTTAACTATAAAATTCTGATTTGCTCATTTTCAATCAGAATTCCAATTAATGCAACTAAATTCTTTTTCCAGTATATTTTGTTATTTTATGTTATATAAAATTTATAGGTAATTCAGTAGGCTGAACATCAGAAGTTTAACATATCTACTTCGTTAACATTAAGTTTCCTTGAGCGAAACTTATATTATCGTAATTTATATATCATACTTTATACTTTCAGATTAGCTTTGCGTCATGTCGCGAAAAAGGGACGATATATGTATATTCGAGAGTTAATCGAGAAGAAGCGGAAGTCACAAAATCGCATGATCGCAGCGTGGTCGGGAACTCGCCCCAACCTTAAGTTACACCGTCCCGGCATTAAGTTACATGATTAATCGCGCGACTTCGGAGAGTCTCGCGACGAAAATAATATCCGGTGCAATTTATACTGGGTGGGATAAAGACGAGTTGTTAAGATGAGAACGTTGTGGGTATCACGCGAGTGGGGCTCTCTTCCCCCCCCTTCTCTCTCTCTCTCCTCTCGTAACAATTCCACGAATGGAGATTGACGGCCTTCCTGGCAGACCAATTGGTAAGGCGCAAGCATTCTGGCGAACCTCGATCGTAATGACGTCAATGAAGTCCACCACCAAGGCCGAACAGGGGAGAATTTACCTTGTTAACAGAGTTCAGTTAACCCGCGAATACTTCGATTCAAGAGTAAAAGAGGCAGAGCAAATGAGTTGCATGTTCGGAAAATGAAATAAAAAACAAATTACTATTCGATAAAATAATATACTTTGTTCGAAGATTCGGAGATCTTCCCTTCAATAAAAAAAAAAGAAGTAACTGAGAGAAGAAATATATTAGGTGTTGGAATTAATTCGTAGCGTTTTACAAGTGATGGGAAGTACTTTCATTAATGTATTTTTTAATGCTCATGTGAAATAAATAACATTCTTTCATTAAAAACGCTACGAATTAATTCCAACACCTAATAACAAAATATGAAAAAATTTGCTTTATAAATTTGCTTTGTTTTATAAAAAGATTTCGTAGAAAATTTTGTAAAGATGATCTCACTAAATTCTTCGAAGTGAGATTCACTCCAAAGAATTTAAAGAATGGCGCATGTTTAAAATAAAGTTTTTTTTTCGCAAACAATATATCAAACGAATTCTATCATTTAATGAATTTTGATTTACAGTATTATACAATAAACATATAAAGATACCTCTAAATAAACTTGTTATCTTGAGATCATACACAATAAAGAACATTTCAGTTTTATTGCCCTCATAATTGCGCACATCAATAAAAAAAAATCATCTTAATTAACATTTAAATCAGTAGTGAATCTTGTTTAGCGAGCTCGTTATTAAAGCTTATATAATATAAGTAAATGCAATAAACTAGCTATTTTTGTATTCAATTTTTTTAGCAAGCGAAATACCGTTATGCGTTTATTTAAAAGGAACATATTAATTATGTTAATCAGTAGAATTAATCAAACGTGTCGGCGGACGCGTTAACACGGAAACAAAGACAGGTTTCTTCTCGGCACGACCAGTTTATTCCCTTTGTTTTGCAGAGCGAGTTTCTTATTAACATGTAGCACGGCAGTCGAGC